GCAAAAATTCGTCACGCACCCTGTAGAATCAAAATAACACTACTTAGATCATCGACCAAAGAAGGCATCGACTTGTAGAAATATCGACTTATTGAGAGTACGGTGCGTGGGAAAATTAAAGGGACCGCAGAATCCATGGAGTTATAGAATATTGAGATGTGGAGAGTTTACTGTAGTTGTTGTTAAATTTTATAAACAAAAAGTTCGAAAATTTGACCAAAAGTTGTTGTTCTTCGAATTTTGTTCATTTTTAAGCATCTAACTTAAAAATTTCACAGAAGTTAGCATTTTTCATAAGAAATAAATAAAAAAGAAATAATGAAGAAATATTGAAGAATGCAATTTTTAAGAATTCAAAGACCTTTTTTTTTAATTTTTTACCCAAAATTACTTGATTTTTTTACCGTTTATTTTTTTCCAGAAATTTTTCCTACACACAAAAAATTATCGTTAGTAAAATTAAAAAAAAAACCATTGGTGAAATTAAAAGTTTGCGTTGGTTCTTCTTGGTAGAAACATTCAAAACAAAACTCAGTCAACTGTTAATTCAAAAGTTGCTCGCGAACTACTTTTAAAAGTTAAAACTTTAAAAATGAATTGTTGTACTGTCAAACGAAAGTATGGTATTTCGGATCGTAAAAATATATATTTTCAATTTGAAAACAAGTATTTTAATTTTACAGCATAATTTTCATTTTAAGACCTAATTTGTATTACATTAAAAATTATTACTATTCAAATGATTTATTACTAAATATGTTTTATTTACATCAAAACTGGATTCCGTTATCTGGCTGCGGACTAAGCTGCTCTGGTATTGTCATCCGACTGATTTATCTGAAAAATTTTGATCTCGTCAGCTGATGCTGCGGACACCCACTATTGGGATCATTTCGTCCACCCGGTTTCCGAAAGCGTCGGTGGAAGCGCCTTGGAATCCTCCAAAGACTTCCTTTCTACGGACTGATTCGCTCCTTAAGGAAGTCGAGTTTCTTAGCATAAACGTCCTGGTATGCTTCTCAATTGGTTTGTCGGAGAATTTTCTTCCTGCCTCAAGCGTGGCTGAATCCGCAGCTTGTTAGCCGTGTACGCTTCCCGATTCACAGCCTACCTTTTCCGTTGATCCATAAGCAGTTCCAATTGTGCATGTTTGTTCGAGCCGGACGTCACACTTGCGGAACCCTTGCTTGCTGATCATTCAGGCACACTGAGCTTATTTCGTTGGTTGCTATGACACCTGAAATTTGTTGAAATTAGTGGTGGCTCGAGTTGTGGTGTACCGCTATGCTAGAAGCAGAAACCGATTCCAATGCCATAGATAAACCGGCGGAAGAAAAATTTGGACAACTGGAAGCACTCCTGCTGCTCACTGCTACGTCTTGTTTACTTTAGCGCGTGTAAATTTAGCAGAAAACTAAGGTGCAGTGCTGCCAAAACTTTGCAATTAAGAGGTATTTTTGACAATTATACAATTTTAATTTTTATTTTTTTTTTAAATTACAAGTCGAAACGAACGAAAAAAAAAGTTTCGTTTTGAATATTTTCGTAGGGGAAATGCAGGTAATGTCGGCCTAAGTGTCCCTAATTTGGGCCCATACAAAAATTCAGCAATCGACAAAATTTTCAATAGCAACCAAAAATATCCATTAGTAACGTCCCAATAACGCGTTCATCTAGATAAAATTGATAAATAGCAGATTTTTAGCGATGGGCCCAATCTTAGATCCATAGGCCAACATTAGAGACATTTCCCCTAGTTAAAACTACGAAATCTGTGAAACTTTTAATATAAAATTGCATAATTTTTAGAGCTAAAATAATTGTTTTTTTTTTGTGTGTATGACTTTGTCTCAGACGCAATTTTGGTTGGAAGTGAAGTTTTCGATCTATAAAAAGCTTGACAAATATCGGATACGCCAGTTGCGAAGTTTTTTGCCAGTGACTTTAGCCAAAACGTAAATGATTGACCGTAACAAACAGTTATGCAACTTGGAGACGCAAACGATCGAGTCTGATCGATTCGTCATTTGGAGTGGAACTGCTCAACTGTAGCTCGTGCTCATCAAATTGATACCGTAATGATAGCATGATAGTGGTTTACCACCCAATGTAGAACGGAAACTAAGTCTTGATTAAGCTTAATAGCCTCTGATTGTCCTCAACATGTCGCTATATGAATGTACGTGACAGGATTTGACGTCTATACGCATTTATGTGTCAGGAAAGCAGCCCCCAAATAGGAAGATGCCCCAATGAGTGGGGAGAACAACCCGCCCTTTATCTACGAAATTTTATCAACAGGGAGTTGGCATTCCCATTCTCCCAGTCCAGATCGCTTCAATCGGGTCAAATTGATACCGTAAGATGAAAAAATGGGTGACTTATAAAATTGTGATCTACTATGGTGCTGACATACTTTTCGCAGTTCCTAATGCTTACGCATTCGTTATATTTTCGGTTGACTTTCAATTTTAACCTGATATTTTCAAAACGAAATTCCGAACGAATTCCGTTACAATTAAATATTGAACGGCACTCAACTTCATCAATAGAGGGGAAATGGCTCTAATGTTGGCATATGGAACTAATATTGGGCCCATCGCTGAAAATCTGCTATTTATCAATTTTATCTAGATGACGGATAATGGATATTTTTGGTCGCTCTTGAAAATTTAGTCGATTGCTGAATTTATGGGTATGGGCCCAAATTAGGGGCATTTAGAGCGACATTTCCTACACCAAAAATTTTAACTAACCTGTAATGTGCTACCTTGAGAAGAACCATAGTAAAAGTCTAAACGCGCATACCAGATTACCACTTTGAAAAGTTACCCTATCCCCTCAAATTCAACTCTCTCGCAGTGTATGAAAATTCATCTTCCACCTCGTAGATTTACGAGTCGGTACCAACCCGAATATTGTTTAAACTGTTCCACTCCCTAGGAAAAACTATTATTTTTTTTTATTAAATCCCCGGCAGTAACAAGCAACCTACCAACCTGTGGAAGCACTTCATCCACTTACTGGCACCAGGATCGTGAGGAAAACCCCTCTCGCAAGATGCCAGCCATAGCTTTGCGGTTAAGCCACTTAGTCAAACTTTACCCGACTGTCAGTGTCTCTGTGTATGTAGGTCTGTCTGTATGTATATATGTTGGCTCTCAAGTTTTAACCAAACCTGTACAGGAGACGAGGTAAAACGAGAAACTTTAGACCCTGATGTTTTCCACAACGGTTTGTCGTCGACGGTTGTCGTTGTAACTCGGTGTAATAAGGTGAATCCGAGAACCTGCCACCGCACAGTGGGACGGAATCATAGAAAGTTGGACATTTGATGTCTTCTAGAATGTTTCTTCATTTTTCAAGTTCTTTATTTATGTAGTGATTTTTGCTTAAGGGGGGTATACACTCAGATAAAAAAAAAATAACTTTTTTATGTATTGTTGAAATTGATGAACATCTATGGAAACATTGTAGATGAAGTCCTTTTAAGAAACTTTGTCGAAGACAAACAATTTCTATCTCTCAAGTGGACTAAGTTATTGGGTAAAAATTTAGTACAAACGTATTTTTCCCATAACTATTTTGTTTCATTTTTTTATTTTTTTTTTGTTCTACAAAGGCGTAAGTGCGTTAAAACTGCACATTTTTGTAGAAGAAAGCAAATCGCTATCTCTTTGCTTTAAGTATTTACGTCGCTTAAGAAATTTTCAAATAAAGTACCTCAATGTTTTGTTAAGTTTTGCTGTTTTCATGACCATTTTTCCAAGTATGTACAAACATTAGGGTGCGTCAAGTTTGCATGGTGGTAGTATGATCTAGATTTGAGAATTTCAAATTTTACCTATTTACGAACCTATTCATTTGCATACCAAAAAAATTCACCACTCAAATAAAGTACTCAAAAAATGAAAAAAAAAAACATTTTAGAAGACATCAAAATCGTACACTCAATAGTTTCGTCTACCAACTTTTGTTGATTTCGTCCCACTGTGCGCCGCCCCCTCGCCCCAAAACGAGCTGGGGTTGAACGCCGCCGACGATGGGAAAACTACACTTGTATGCTTTGAATTCATTTAAAGAAAGCGAGAGAGGCTAAGAAAACATGAAAAACTTCTTCATACTGCAAAACACCGGTAGCGATAGTGGACCAAAGTTTAATCTCTGCGATTTTCCCAGTGGATTTTTTTTTCCGTTTACACTTAAGTGTCTTCTTCTGGAAGCAGACTACCCCGTTTTCAAAAAAGTTTCCCGCTTCGTACGTTTTGAAACATCTGCCGCAGAGAGGGACAAAAAAAATAAAGAAACTTAGCTTCCGCGTTCAGCAGGAGAAACAGCGACACTTTTTACGCTTGTTTTTGTTTGGAAAACTAAAAAAAAAAAAGAAACGGAAATCCCCATAGTCGGGAGTGCGCCTTGCTACCCCACAAATCGGTTTTAAACTTTAAACATTTCATATTTTTGTTGCTAACCGTTTCGCTCCCCCAAAGCAATGCAAGTAAGACACACTCTACGTAAGAGTGTCTAGTTGATGTCGTTTTTTTTTTGTTGTTTCCCTTAATTCGGTTTGCGATAAAGTTTCGCTTTCGCTTGTTTCAGTCACGTGGCACGGAGAATGCAATTTTAGTTATTTAGTTTCAGTTTTCCTTTCTTTTAGCTATCGAGATGATGCGACGCAAACGACCACGACGGCATCGACAAGGATGCACACAAGTGCTGCCTCTGAGTTTTCATAATTTCTTTGCAAAATTAACATCATTAGCTAATTACCTCACCAGCGAACTAACGAACTAATATTTAGTAGTTTTTGTTCTTCTTCCGAGTCGAGTATACTTTATTATAATTAGGAAGTGGTTGCCGTTTTTCGTACTTTCTTGTCTTTGTGTGTTTGTGCTGTATGTCTTAGTCTATTAGGTAGCATTACTTTACTATAATTTCGTAGTTGACACATTACCTTTCAATTTATTAACATTTGATTTTCGTCACTCCCCTCGGAACAGCTCAAATAACGCAGTGGAACATGATATTCTACGGCACGGAGACGCCGGCCCAACCGGACGATCCGGTGCGGCTGGGAAAGCCCGGATTCAGCGATAGCAACTACGGTGGTGAAATCGAGCACAACTCGCTGGATTTCGACAACGGCATCACCAGCGACCAGTGGAGGAATATGCAGCAGGTAAGTGAGAAACAGATGATATTTAATTCCAATGAATCTTCGAAGAATGAAGATTAGAAGATTTAATTTAATCCAAATGAAGTTGAAAATGTTCGCTACATCTGCTCCTGGTCATTTGACTAGGTTTAAACTAAACAATGGCATTAGCATTAGCTGGCAGTCCCGGTGTTCCTCCGCTATTATAAAAAAATATGTTTAAATAGATAGCCATTGTACATCTCTGGGTGGATTTTCTAAAAAATCGCTTGACAAATTTGGGATTTACTCCCTTTTGAAGTTAATTTGCAGTATCATAAGGACTCGGAATCGGATTCAATGGTGTTAAGCGGTGGAATAGTAAAAATATCACTGATTTTGGCTCCGGATGTTTCAGAAATCTCCGCAGTCCTGCTTTTAACAACTCCGCAGTCCTGCTTTTAACAACTCCGCAGTCCTGCTTTTAACATAAACGAAATTCGTAGTAGGCATTGATTTTCACAACATTGACAACAGTGTGCATTTTCTGCGTAATCGGTACGGTAGATAAACATAGACAGGGTGTCGCCTACCTGAAAAAAACCTGGAAAATCAGGGAATCCCAGGGAATTTCATTCAACTTCAGGGAAATATGTCTTAATCACATAATTATGACAAACTTTGCTAGTTTCAAACAACTTCATTACTCGGTGTAGTTTGAAGATGGTTGTTCGTTTCAAGTTTTAAATAGAGTTGCGAATTTATGGTTGCTCAATGCTTGATCTTGCATTTTTGGTAGTTGAGCAAGAATTACTCAAATAAAAGGGTATTTTGATGATTTTGTGCCTAATATAAATTCAGCTGGGTGTTGACACATTCCTGAGTTGTACTGAGATCCTGTGGGTTGATAAAAAATCCATTTCCGTACACACTAGACATTGTTAGTTGCTGCAAAATTTAACCTCCAAATTGGTATGTCTTGGTCTCTTAGTAGATGCTAGTAGATGTTACATCTAATTGCGTCTGACTTAGATCCTTTGGGGGCATTGCAGCGCATTTGAGCAAAAAGTTAAGAGAAGAGGATAATTTTTTTTTTTTGAACGCTTGTAGTCCCTGTTACTTATTGTGTTCCTAACAGCCTGATTAGCCCAGAGAATAAATTAAATGACAATTTAGAATAATGGTCTTGCTTGGGTGGATTTTTGTCTTTGATGCTTGAAGTAGCACTTCAAAGAAACGTAGACAAGCATTGCCTCGTCAGCATTTATTGAGTATTCTAGGTCTTCATTGTAAATCTGATTAGCTCGGAAAATTAGCTTCCACAGCTCAGTCAAAGGTGAAAGTGCTGTTTTTACGACTTCCCACCATAGGAATCTGGCAGCAAATTAGCGTTTGGTTAAGCGTATTAACCGGATTAATTTTCTTGCGAAGCTGGGTCTCAAATTGTGCTCAAGGGATTAAACACAAGTGTTTCATATGTAAGATGTGAGAGAACTGGTTGAATTTCTGTCCCTAGCGTTGAGTCCAGAAACAGTCAGAAAAGAACTTCTAAGCCGGGTTGAAAAAGTTCACGATATTTCACGAAGTTCAACAAGGTAAAAGTTCGCAAGTCATAGTGAGTTTTGGTGAATATTTTCAACACTGCTTCTAAGGGTGAGAAAATCACCATGCCAAGGATCTCTTCTCATATCATGGAGTAAATCGAGCAAACTTTTTTGAAAAGATTAAGCGATTAAGCAAGACTTGTTTGTAGATTGCTATCGAGATAGTTGCAGTTTCCTTCTCTATTAATCATTAATTGAACGATTACAATTTGTGAATTTAGAAAAATACGGTGCCTTCCCGTTTTTGGCAACACGCGATTTTCGTCTCTTTTGCATTCTATAAAATGTATCGAACGCTTTATTCAATTTGAGATTGTACTTGACCACTCTTCATGGGTTAGATATCCATGTGGTATTTAATGAAAACTACAAGGGACCGTCCTATGAGGTTGTACGAAATAGTGTCGTAGGACTACGTGGTCTTACATAATTAATTTTATTTGTTAGCTGCAGCAGGAGCTTGTGTTTTGGGTAGGAATAAGAATTTGAGCGGGGTTCTCTCTGTTTATACTCTTTAGTATGACACGCTTGATATAGATGGCCAACACGAAGAGCTTCTGATTCCGATCAATAGTGGTGCGGCTTCTTCCTCCTTCTATGGATGTTCATTAGAGTGATGCAAAATTTGAAATTTTTGCTCCACAATACTTAAACGATTCCAAATCAAATCCTGACTAACCTCTCAAAATTTGAACCCATTTGGTGAGAAACTGAGATGGCACAATCCATTTGAAATTTTTATGGGAATTACTATGGTAAAACCAAGATTTTTGTTCATGTCTATATAATAATTCACCATATCCGTCTGCTTCAAAAGCTTTCACTTGTACTTATAGGAAATTTTCCCAGCTACAACTTTGCTGAAGACCACTTTTTGATTAAATGCAAGAATCGAAAGTTATCAATGGTTCAATGCGCTGATGTCTTATGATCATGCTCAATCAACTGCTCTGCTCAGCAGGCAACATTGGTGTTTCTGGGGCGTTGAATAGGACACAAAAATCATGGCTACTATGTCACACTGCAAAATACAGTGTTGCCTACAGAGCAGCTGCTTGATCTTGTCATAAGTTTACCAATCTCTTAAATAATTAATAACTTTTTTCTGTCTCGTTTTACATAGAAACGATCTTCAGCTGAGTAGCTGAGAAAATTTTCTATAAGAATGGCTATCGAACTGTTTCGATATGGAAAAAGACTAAAAGGCAATGATTAAAAAGTTGAGATTTCCCATAGTAATTTACATGTAAACTTCAAATGGCTTGTGCGAAGCCTGTTTCTAACCAAATGAGTTGTAACTTTGGGAGGCTAATCAGGAACCGATTTGAAACCATTTAAGCACTGTGGAGAGAAAAAGTCAAATTTTGCATCAGTCTAATGTTCATGTGGGCTGCTGCTCGCTGCTTGCAGGCAGCCTTTCGTTGTGTTCTGGAGAACACCAAAACTTACTACGCAGTGATTGAATAAAAACCATTTGGTGAGCCCGGATGGAATTCAACTTTGAAATCTGTGTTAGAGAAATCGCTTCTCGCAGGCAATTGGTGATAATTTTAATTATCAAAGCAACAGTTGCTCATCCGTGCAATTTTCAATAGTGACATTTTGAAAAATGATAAAGTCTTAAATTTCACAGATGCGGAGAAATATCTCGATTGGTGATAAAATTATTGAAATCTTTCATAATTTTGTTACATTTTCCATTTTCGGTTTTCACAAAGTGTATCCCATATGGAAATCACAAACGTAGTCATACGCCAAAAAATGTAAAGAAAGCAGTACTCAACTAACAATTTTGGCTGCAGACTAGCTGATACAACCGACAAATTACGTTATGCATCTAATTTGTGCCTGCAGTGAAAATTGTTATAATATTCTGCTATTTTTGTTACAAATTTAAGTAAATATATGCTAACTTTTGTGCTTGGACAAAATAAATCAGACGCTCCTAAGATTTTATTTTTTAGCCATCGAATAAAAACAAAATCTGAGGATTTGGCATTACGGCGTAATATTTGACAGTTCTTGTTCCGGGAAGCGTGCGCTTCGCACCATTGTAATGTCGGGAAAGCAGATTTCGCTCGATGTTAGAAATTTGGTGATTCGCGATCGTGAAAAAGGAATTTCTTTACGGAAAATTGCCGAAAAGTACTCGATCTCAGTTGGAGCTGTTCAGCACATATGGAAAAAGTACGAAACACGAGGAATTGTGAGGAATTTATCCGGACAAGGACGTCATCGTGCGACAAGTAATCGTGATGACATCAGAATTGTTCGAATGGCTAAGCAGAATCCGAAGTATTCGTCGCGGCTCTGTTCGCCGTGTGTTTATCAACAAGCGGAACCAACGGAAGCGACTGGAATTTGCTAAAAAGTACGCCGGAATGACTGTGGACTTCTGGAAACGAGTTCTGTGGACGGATGAGAGCAAATTTGAGTTATTTGGACAGAAAAGGCGATCAAGGGTTTGGCGAGGTTCCGGTGACGCTCTTAAGGAACCATACATTCAAAAGACGGTTAAACACGGAGGTGGAAATATCATGGTATGGGGAGCATTTGCGTGGTCTGGTGTTGGAAGCTTGGCTCATATAAAGACAATAATGACTGCAGATGTGTACGTTGACTTGTTAAGTGAAAATCTGGAAGTTTCGCTACTGAAAACTGGCCTGGAATCCAATTACATTTTCCAACAAGATAATGACCCAAAGCACACAGCGAAGAAAACAACGGCATTTTTCAAATCAAATCGGATCAAAACGCTGGAATGACCTCCCCAATCTCCCGATCTCAACCCAATTGAGAATTTGTGATCTTACTTGGACAACAAAGTGGATAAAGCATCGGTTTCCAACAAAAACGTTTATTTTGAAGCACTTGAAGCAGCGTGGGAGAATATCGATTCAGGATATCTACAAAACCTCGTCGAAAGTATGCCAAGACGGTTGAAAGCAAAGGGTGGTCATACCAAATACTGAGGGTGTTAAAATATAAGTTGAAAGTTGAATTAAACAATAAGTTTCAATAAGAAATCAGGTGTATGATTTATTTTGTCCAACTCGAAATTCTCCTTTTACAACTTATAAATGATGATTGAGAAAGTCATACAATATATTGAATATTATATACCTGCACAGTTTTAGCGAAAAACATACAGAAGTATTGCAGAACAAACCATTATTGTATGTTTGAATCTACCTGATATATCGAACTCCAAAGAAAAATTATATGGGTGTATGATTTATTTTGTCCAGTACTGTAGCTGATGATATCATGTTGACAAAACCATGTAGACACTGTAACTGGAATTTGTTGAACAATTACTGGAAAATCAGGGAATTTTGTTTTCTTCATTGAGTCGACACCGTTGGAAACAGTCACCATGCAACAGGAGCGTAGAAAAAAAATCGTGCACGCTCACCAGGAAAATACATCGTGGTCCTCGTT